GAATGGAAATGGGTAAGTTGGACGAGGGAAGCACCTTTCAGGGGGAACAGGAGTTGGACTTAGGACATGGTAAATCCATAGTGTTTCACAGTATTGGCGTTACATAAGCATTTGGATATGCTGGTCTGGAGTTCTGCACAACAAGCTGGGCTGGAGACCTCTGAGGAGTGAGGTCTTATCAAAGCCTGGAGATGAAATTTAGGGGGAGAATGTTAAGGTTGTTATTTTATGTGGTCCCTGAGGTGAATGGGTACAGGGAAAAGGGGTGGACGTCCCTGAGATTTCCTCCAGAAAGGAGAGGTCCTGGAATACGAAAGGGTTATGGGTGGTGTCAGCAGGAGAGAGAGGGCTGTAGGGTATTAGGAACCCGACCTGAGATGGAGAGCAAGGTGTAAGGTGCTATAAATTTGTCACTATGTGGACTCAGCATGCCCCTCTGTGGAGCCGAGGAAAAGTCAGCCAGGCTAGTGGAGCAGCCCCACCCCAATCCAGGGCACTATTAAATCAGTTCCCTGACTTATCAGGTGAGGAGAGATGATGAACACCTCTAATGAAGGGCCACCAGCATGCTCACCTTCAGAGGAATATATACCAGGTAGGCTGGTTTGGTGAAAGGATCTAGTGTATACCTGGCAAGTATACGTTAGCAGGCAGTTAAAAATTAAAAATATTTAGGTATGATAAATTTATACCACTGCTTAAATGATTGAAAAACTTGTCTCTAAGTATTTGATTACAATGAAAAGTCTTAAATATCAAGTTTTATTAAAGACTTAAAAACAAACCCAAAACTTACAAGAACCTATTATGTACTTCATTCAAGCGAAAAACATTTGCAAAACTGTTAAGAATGTGGACGGTAAAAGTTATTTCAAAGGTACTTGACGCCTACTAACACGTCTGATACAGACAGCCCTATTAGGTGGATACCACCATTCTCCCTGCTTTGTACGTGAGAACACAGAGAAATCTTGGATCATGGTTACGTAGCTGGTAGGAGGCAGCACTAAGGTCTGAGTATCTTAAGTTAGACAATCTGAAATCATCCTCACCAAAGGGCAAGGTAGGGGTGAGAGGAACAGTTGTCTTTGAGATCCCACTGTGGTAACCTGCCACTCCCAGCTCCCTCTTCCTGCCAGAGTGCTGTGGTGGCAGAAGTGATTAAGATCCCTGCATAGGTGAGTGCAAAGTGTACAGGTCCTCAGTCAACCATGATCTTGGCAACCCATTATGGCAGATAATGGTGTCTTGGGAATCTTAACCTACCCTTCTGCCTGCCATTGGGTTTGGGGATCCTGGTGTCACCAGAGGCCTTGTGCCCTGCAAACTGTCCTGGAATTATATGGAAGGGTTTCCATTTTCAGCAAGTAATGGGAAGAAGTATGGAACAGTGCCCATGGGAACCATCATATGCAATTACATTACTTGAGGCTGAACTGGTCTTTTTCGGGGAACTTTAGTTCTCCATTATGTCTAGTGATCAGAGAGCAGGGGACAGGTTTCAGCTCTGAAATGGCAGCCTGTGGAGCTGGGCTTCTGTTCTGAAAGTGGTGGGACCCATGGAAAGTTTGGACCAGAGAAGGGAGTGATCTTATTCTGGTCAGGGTTTCTCTGGCTGCACAGTGAAGAAAAGACTATGGGGGTAGTAAAGAGGACTGCTGATGATGGCTGGGCCAGAGTGGTGACTACGGGGGTAAGAGACAAGTGCTTGGATTCTGGTGGGGTTTCTTTGTTTGTTTTTATTTTTAAAGTAGGACCAACCAGATTTTCTGATGTGGAGTGTGAGAGAAAGATGGGAAAGAGTCAGAGATGACCCCACTGTTTTTTGCCTGAGAAGACATAAGGAAGAAAAAGTTCTCAATTGAAATAGTGAAGTTGGTGGTGAGAGTAACTTTCAGAGGTAATATCCAGAGTTATGTTTTGATCATGTTGAATCTGCAGTGGTCCAAAGGCATCTGAGTTGACGTATCAAGTGGACAGCTGGACACATGGGTATGGAGTTCAGAGGAGGGATTCAAGTTGGAGACATCCACAAGGTGACAGCCAGTATGTGATTAGGGTAGAGCTGTGTATCAGATTTAGAGAGAGAACCTTTATGTCTTGGTGGCAGTGCCTTTGGGGGTCTGGAAAGGAAGTGGACACAGTGGAGTGGAAGTAAGAGTTACCTTAGAGGCAAGAAAAGGGAGGTTAGTGTCCATAGTGAGCAGGGAAAATAGGATCTGGCAGTTGATGAAAGGGAGAAAGTAGACATGAGATGAATTCTGAGGTAAAGCAGTAATAGAGATGACATGAAAGATCAAAGCTGGTCCTTCTTCCCCTCTCCGTGTGCTTTTCAGGTTTTTGTGGTGACCTTTGGTGGGGACTGGGGAGTTTTAGTTGAGCTGGTAGGTTAGTTCAGAGCTAAATTGGGTCAGCTGCAGAGTCACTATGCTTGGGGTAGAAGGCCAGTGGGTATGGGCTTTGAATGAGAGTTTAGTGGTAAGTGTTAAGCCTGTGACTGATGAGGGTATAGTATCCCCAGCATGCAGTAGCAAGGTGGAAAAGGTCTGGCTTTATCTCATAATCTGCATGTGCTTCTGAATTGCTGAAGTTTAATCAAGGAAGGAAAAAATTAAAAGCTGAGTTTGGAAATACCTATGACAGTGGAGGCTGTTGACTGGTGATGGATGTAACCCTGGATGCATTAACCAAGCATTCTCTGGATGCCATGTGCAGGTTTACATCTGGGAGGTACCTACTTTGGGAGCCTCCTTAGATAACGAGGGAGGTGTGGTCTAAAGAGTGATGTGTCCATGGAGATGGAATCTGAATTCATGGCCTGGGGGCTCAGGTACTGAGGGATTTAAGGGGAACGTGGAGGTCAAATTTGTGTATGAGAGGCATAATCTCTGGATCCCATGGGATCTAGCTGGCTGGAGAAGGGTTTGTTCCTGCCTGCCAGGCCCAGACTATACAGTGTGTCTATCTGTCCACTTGCTTTTTGTTCTAGGCTGGGTGAAATGATTAATGGAAAATGAGGAAAGAGGAGGCATCAATTACACCAGGGCCTGCTGTATTGTTTTGCGTTGGGGAGCTGGGGAGGAATGTGAAATTGTGGTGGATACACTGGGAATCCTGGGGAGAGAGGCTACCCTTGTGCTCTTGTGCTGTTCATGTAGGATCATGTGACTTTTGAGGGTGTGTTTGTGTATTTTTCCTGGAAGTCTCTTGATAAAGCTCAGAGACTCTCATATCACAATGCAGTGCCTTCTATGCTTTGCTCTTATGGTTTTCCTGGGTAAGGCCCTGCATATCCCAGTTTTCTGGGCTATGTTCTGCTCTTCCTGTTTTTCCCCTAGAAGTTGTGATTTCCTTCCTATAGCTGGACCGTGAGCACTCCCTCACATACATCCTCTGGGTGCCAGGTCTTGGCTGGGTATGCTCCCTATGCTTCCTGACTTCTGTTGCCCCAAAATTACCAGGAAGGATTTGAAGGTCAAGAGTCTTATGGTCAGCCCAGTGGATACTACCCTGCCTGGCTTCTTCCTGGGTGGATGGCTCTGTCTACACTCATGATGCCTTTTTGCTCCAGATTATGTCCCCTTTCTTTAATTGACATTCCCTTGGGCCTATCTCTATCATGAATTACAGTTATGGTCACTGATTGTGGGGCCCATAGATTGTTCCTTTAAAGTTTTCATTTTGTATTTAATCTCTCCTGGGTGGGCTACCCTGGGCCATTGCTTTCCTCTTCGCTTGCCCTGTCTTTCCTGTGTGACTTGTATCTTCTAGATCCTCTGTGGTTGCTGAACTGTAGCAGGGGAAAGATGAGTGCCTGATTGAGAGGTCCTGACTAGCCACAACAAAAGAGACATGGACAGGCCCTGGTGAGTGGGAGTCTGGGCAGGATATAACTTCAAGGATGGGTTCAGATAGCAACAGAAACCTGTCCTATGCGCACTGCTGTTTGGTGCCCAGGCTATAGGCCATACCTTATTTCTCTTTTCCTCCGCATTCTGGGCTCTTTACATACTTTTCACTTCTATTCTGATCTGTGACGCAGGCCTGCCCACCCCACTCATCAGTGCTCTCTACTGCTCCCTCTGTGGTGCTCTCGTCTGTTGGACAATGTTAATGTGTCATGAAACATAAGCATGTACTTAAATAGTTTTTGAATACCAGTTACTCGTTTTAAATCATATTTTCTGGGCCTGGACATAACATTTCTGGATAGTACTCACCTGTCACCAATAGTCAAGGCCCTTCTAAAAGTCATTTGCAAGGTGTGAGTTGGAGATCTTGCCTGCCTCTTCTCTCTCAGCTACACACCATCCTGTGTCTTTGCTGTAAGGCCTTCCCCATTCTGTGACCCACAGAGTCCAGTACTGCACAGCAGCTCTTTCTTTAACCTAATCCCAAAGCTGCTGTCCTGCCAGCAACCCTGTGGACTCAATCCTGGGTATGCTAGATGCTAGATACACATTTGTGATGGGATTGCCCACTCCCACTGAAGACAGCATGCTGTTCAGCAGCATTTTTCTGCTTTCAGGTTGTTGGCATGGAGTGGAGAATGAAGAGTCACCTTCTGAGCAGAGTGTTTCTGTAGCAGTGTCACACGTTCATACTTTCAAGGCAGATTCATCGACCCAGATGGCTCACCCTTGTGACTTATGTGGCCCAATCTTGAAAGATATTTTGCACCTGGATGAACACCAAGAAACACACCATGGACTGAAACCTTACACATGTGGGGCATGTGGGAGACAATTCTGGTTCAGTGTAAACTTTGACCAGCACCAGAAGCTGTACAATATAGAGAAACTCTTAAGAGGAGACAAAGGCAAGACCTCATTTGTGAAGAACTGTAGGGCCTGTGAAGAACCTCACCTGTCAGAGAAGCCCTTTGCATGTGAGGAGGAGCAGAAGAACTTCCAGACCAGTTTGGGCAGTCACCAGCAAAAGGCCACCCACAGCAAGAGGAAAACAAGGAGCACTGAGAGTGGGGAGGCCTATCACATTAGACAAATGCATTACAAGTGCAGCGAATGTGGGAAAGCTTTCAGTCGCAAAGATACACTTGTCCAGCACCAGAGAATCCATACTGGAGAAAAGCCTTATGAGTGCAATGAATGTGGGAAAGCGTTCAGCCGCAAAGCCACACTTGTCCAGCACCAGAGAATCCACACAGGAGAAAGGCCTTATGAGTGCAGTGAATGTGGAAAAGCCTTTAGCCGCAAGGACAACCTTACTCAGCACAAAAGAATTCACACTGGAGAAATGCCTTATAAGTGTGGGGAATGTGGCAAATACTTCAGCCATCACTCCAACCTAATTGTACACCAGAGAGTTCACAATGGAGCAAGGCCTTATAAGTGCCACGATTGTGGGAAAGTCTTCAGACACAAATCCACACTTGTTCAGCATGAGAGTATCCACACTGGAGAAAATCCTTATGTTTGCAGTGAATGTGGGAAATCCTTTGGCCACAAATATACCCTTATTAAACACCAGAGAATTCATACTGAGGCAAGGCCTTTTGAGTGCACTGAATGTGGGAAATTCTTTAGTCGAAGCTCTGACTTTATTGCACACCAGAGAGTTCACACAGGTGAAAGGCCTTTTGTGTGCAGCAAATGTGGGAAAGATTTCATCAGAACCTCCCACCTTGTTCGGCACCAAAAAGTTCACACTGGAGAAAGGCCATATGAATGCAATGAATGTGGGAAATCGTATAGCTTAAGCTCCCATCTCATTAGGCACCAGAAAGTTCACACTGCCGGAAGGCTTTAGGAGTGCTTCCAACACAACAGAACTCATGGCGAGGAGCTCTGTGTCTGCCTTTAGAGAGGGAGACATCAATCATGTGTCGAACCACATATATCTGGACATTAATACTGTGGAGTATTTTATGAATGCCAGGTGCAGGGGAAGCTTTCAGAAGCTATGTTGCACTTTCAGACCTGCTCAGGTTCCTTGCCAAATTTCTTAGTGCCTGTGGCTGAAACCATCTCAACTCAACCAGCTTAATTACCCTAATATTTTTAGGGGAGGCAGAACTTCATGCTCTCTTCAATCCCTGGAGGAAATTATAAGAAATCTGAATTAAATGGTGGTCCTCATTTGCTTCCCTATGACCGGAAAAGGTATGGACATGATCCACCTTTAGCCAAGATGATCTAAGCTGTGCTCTGGTAGCAGAAAAGGTTTACCTTATTCATGGACATTGTTGGTCTCATGTGATACTTGTGATGAATTTTTCCAGCCTCCAAGTCACCCAGGCTGGATAACTACTTGACTCATGTTGCTCTGGTTTGTGTGGTAATAAATACCTTATTATTTAAGCCACCTTTAATCTCGGAGGTTCTTTTTAGTGTCTGGAGTGGTTTAGAATCCATTAGACTCTGCCAAACTGAAGAGGTAAACTGTTTGTGGTGGGCTCCCAACTGTGTGCCTCAAATAGAACAGGTTGGCAGAGAACAGTTCTCAGTCCAATCTTGGTGTTAATTTCCATTGCTGACAAAAGCTTGGGTGAGAATTCAGGGCTTTGTGGGCCTGATTTTGTCTAGATTTCAGAGTTATTCGAGGGTCCAGACATCACCTTGAGAAGGGTGGTATTGTAACAACCTACAACATGTTTGGGAGCAGCATGGCTTCAGTGTCTTGTTTTCACCATATATGCCACATTCCCTGGCACTGTTGAGGGGCAGCTGTTCCTCAGGACCTGCCAAGTGCCATATGCCCTGAAGGCCAGAATCTGGTACAGGAGTCACTGGCTGTAAGGCTTACTGTGTCCAGGAGGGAAACAAAATTGATGCAGAAACACTGGGTGTGAATAATTGGGATTGGAGAGACTGCTGCAAAGGAGAATGGGTGTGCCCATGCTAAAAACACATCCATAAACATTCAAGTCAGTATTGCTGGATGAGATCATGTATGGAGATTGTCATGCTCTCTGGGGCTGTCTCATTCTTATGACCAGGGTCAGTGGCAGAGCAAAGAATGTAGTTTTCCTCAATTTCTGTGCCTCCTTGGGCTCTTCAGCTGATGCTGCATGGGCAGGAATCCTGGGACTGAGAATAGAACTGTAGTCAACATGCAGTATACTGCCCACACTGTACAGTTTGGTAAGCCTTAATATATGTATACACATTTGAAATCGTCTAGTCATGATATTGGATATATCCATCACCCTTTCTCAGTGCCTTTCCTAATACTTTACCTACCACCCCTAAGCAACCATTGATTGACTTTCAGTATAGATAAATTTGCCTTTTCTAGAATTTTATTTAAGTGGAACCTTAAAAGTTTACTTCTGTCTGCTGTCTTGCAACATGATTATTTTGAGAATCATCTATAGCTCATTCTCTTTATTGCTGAGTAATGTTCTATATGGATATACCACACCATATCAATATATCTTAAATGATATTTGGAGTTCCCCCGCCCAGATTCTAAATATAAAAATAAAGCTGCTGCAAATATTCATGTGCAAGTCTTTTTATGGACATTTAGCTGAGGACATTTCTAAAAAGTGTTGAAAGTTGTGGCCTCGTTTCTTCTTACTGATTATAGTAAAATGTGATAGGGAAAAGTAAATATAGGGAAGACGTGAAAAACAGAAAAGACCCAAGACTTGATGATTTGGGAAATTCTCAGCAAATTTTTTTTTTTAAGACCTTTTTTTTTTTAAATTTATTTTTGGCTGCCTTGGGTCTTCATTGCTGCGTGCGGGCTTTCTCTAGTTCAGGCGAGTGGGGGCTACTCTTCATTGCAGTGTGCAGTCTTCTTACTGCGATGGCTTCTCTTGTTGTGGAGCATGGGCTCTAGGTGTGTGGGCTTCAGTATTTGTGGCACGTGGGCTCAAGTTGTGGCTCATGCGCTCTAAGCCTGTGCACCACAACTACTGAGCCTGAGCTCTAGAGCCTGCAAGCCACAACTGCTGAGTCCAGGTGCCACAACTACTGAAGCCTGCGCACCTAGAGCCCATGCTCCACAAGAGAATCCAGGACAATGAGAAGCCCGCACAGTGCGATGAAGAGTAGACACCACTCACTCCAACTAGAGAAAGCCCATGCACAGCAACGAAGACCCAATGCAGCCATCCATAGATAGATAAACAAATAAATAAACCATGCCCTTTGATTTAAAAAAAAAATAAAAAATTTAAAAACCAAAGTAGGCAAAAGGAAAGAAAGGATAAAGAGCAGAAATTAATAAAATAGGTAATAGAAAAATCAGTGAACTCCAAAACTCCTTCAGATCAAGAGAATTGATCTCTAGGTAGATTGATCAGAAAAAAAGAAAAAATTACCAATACGAAGAATGAAAGATGGGATGGCACTAAAGACATTAAAAGGATTATATGTGATATTTATTTATTTTGTTGCACCAGGTCTTAGTTGTGGCAGGCAGCCTCCTTAGTTGCAGCATGCAGACTCTTAGTTGTGACATACATGTGGGATCTAGTTCCCTGACCAGGGATCAAACCCAGGCCCCCTACCTTGGGGGCATGGAGTCTTAACCACTGCACCACCAGGGAAGTGCCTATATGTGATATTTTAAACACTTTCCAACAACTCTAGAAAAACCAGAAATTGAGAAAAAAATTTCTTGAAATACTCCAACTACTCAGGTTCACTGAGGAAGAAATGAGAAATCTCAAGTGCCCTCTATTATAGATATTGAATTGGTAGTTTAAAATTTTCCTACTATGATTTCATGCCAAGATGACTAATGACTTCTAGACATTTAAGGAAGAAAGAATTCCAATTCCACTCAAATTATTATTTTTTTTAAGATGGAAGTCTTCTCAGCTAGTTTTGTGAGATTAGCTTTAACTTGATACCAAAATCAGGCAGTACTGTTAATAGCAAACTGCAGACCAACACCCACATGTACATAGATGAAAAACATCCTTAACAAAATATTAGGAAATTCAAAACCCTGTCATAATTTGGGATAAAAATGATCATCTTTCAGGTGATTAAAGATGCAATTTACTGTGAAAACATGGTAATACAATACCTGCATGTACCAAAACAGCTTCACGTGGGAAAAGCACAAGGGATAGAACTTCCTGGAGAAAATGACCAATCTGGATCTGACCCTGTGGTTGATCAGATCTCGTTTGATATGAACCACTGATGCTCTGTTTTTTTCTTTTGCAAACTGCATTGTAAATACTGTCTTTTCTATAAACAATAGTCTGCCTACTCCTTGGCCAAATATGCTCCTTGCTTCTTTCATGTCTCTTACTTTTGTGTGACAGTTTTTCAAGAGACTTTTCTGTACTCCCTGTTTTCCTATCCTGAACTCTTATTTCGTTTCTGTGGGATCTCACCCTGTCTTATGACTGATATACCATCTAACAGTTCTCAAATGGATGTATTCAGCCAAGTTACTTCTCCCAAATTTCAGATTTGTACCTAATTCCTACTGGACATTATCCTTAGATGTCTGGCAGTTACCTGAGACTGAATAGGTTCATAACCAAGCTCCTTCTTTTATTTTTCCAAATCTTGACTTTATTTATTTGTTTTTTTTTTTTTTTTTGGCAGTACACGGGTGTCTTACTCTTGTGGCCTCTCCCATTGCAGAGCACAGGCTCTGGACGTGCAGGCTCAGTGGCGATGGCTCACGGGCCTAGCCGCTCCACGGCATGAGGGATCTTCTCAGACCGGGGCACGAACCCATGTCCCCTGCATCGGCAGGTGGACTCTCAACTACTGCGCCACCAGGGAAGCCCTTGACTTTATTTTTTAATGTAGAAAATTTACTTTTGGAAGCCAACACTAATTTTCCCCCTAACATAATTCTTTACCTGTTAAACAAAATAAAGTACTGAGACTTCCCTGCCAGTCCAGTGGTTAATACTTGGCCTTCCAATGCAGGGGGTGCAAGTTCAATCCCTGGTTGGGGAGTTAAGATCCCACATGCCTCGGGGCCAAAAAACCAAAACATAAAACAGAAGCATATTGTAACAAATTCAATAGACTTAAAGTACTAATTCTATATACATCACATGTACCATACAAAAATGTATCCAAAGTTTCTATTTCCCTAAAAACCTACTCCAGGGGCTTCGCTGGCAGTCCACTGGTTAAGACTCTGCACTTCCACTGCCGAGGGCAGCGGTTTGATCCCTGGTCAGGGAACTATGATCCTGCAAGCCACGTGGTGTGGGCAAAAAGGAATAATAATAAAAAATTTAAAAAGTAATAAAAACCTACTCCAACTTCAACCTCCCCTATTTATTTCAAGAGCACCTCATATTCCAGTTGTCCAGGCAAAAATTCTCAGACTCATCCTCGAAGCCTCTGTTTCTCTCCTCACGTCTATCACATAGGAGTCCCGTTGCCTTCACCTTCCAAAGCTACCAGGGTTTGACTACTTTTCATCATCCACCCTGCTCCCTCCAAGTCACAACCACCATTATCTCACACTCAATCTTCTACATGGTTTCTGTGCTTCCACCTCGCCCCTTCCACAGCATTTAAAAAAATTTATTGGGGCTTCCCTGGTGGCGCAGTGTTTGAGAGTCCGCCTGCCGATGCAGGGGACACGGGTTCATGCCCCGGTCTGGGAAGATCCCACGTGCCGCGGAGCGGCTGGGTCCGTGAGCCATGGCCGCTGAGCCTGCGCGTCCAGAGCCTGTGCTCCACAACAGGAGAGGCCACAGCAGTGAGAGGCTCACGTACCACAAAAAAAAAAAAAAAAATTTATTTATTATTTAAATTTTGGCTGCGTTGGGTCTTCGTTGTGCATGGGCTTTCTGTAGTTGCGTAGAGCAGAGGCTACTTTTCGTTGCGGTGCATGGGCTTCTCATTGCAGTGGCTTCTCTTGTTGCAGAGCACGGGCTCTAGGCACACAGGCTTCAGGAGTTGTGGCACGTGGGCTCAGGAGTTGTGGCTCATGGGCTCTAGAGCACAGGCTCAGTAGTTGTGGTACATGGGATTAGCTGCTCCACAGCATGTGGGATCTTCCCGGACCAGGGATCGAACCTGTGTCCCCTGCATTGGCAGGCGGATTCTTGACCACTGCACAACCAGGGAAGTTCCCTGCACCCTGATTTTTATTGCAATTAAAATACATTTTGATGATAACTCCATAGCAGTGTAGATAATTTCCAGATTAATTTGTTACAGCTGCAAAGTTTTACAGTCTGTGTATATGGCAGAGTATGTCTGCTGGTACCCTACTTTTACATTGTTTTCAGAACTGTGCTTTTACATAAAGTACTTCAATAATAAAAAAAAAAAACAACCTTTGCTTTCATAAAGACATTCTCAGGTTTTTTTGTTTTAAATTTTATTTATTGGCGGCACCAGGTCTTCGTTGCTGTGCACAGGCTTTCTCTCTAGTTGCAGTGAGCAGGGCCTACTCTTCATTGTCATACGTGGGCTTCTCACTGTGATGGCTTTGCTTGTTGTGGAGCACAGACTCTAAGTGCGTGGGTTTCAGTAGTTGTGGCTTGCAGGCTGTAGAGCGCAGGCTTAGTAGTTGTGGTGAACGGGCTTAGTTGCTCCACGTCATGAAGGATCTTCCCGGACCAGGGATCAAACCCGTGTCCCCTGCATTGGCAGGCGGATTCTTAACCACTGAGCCACCAGGGAAGCCCTCAGTTTGCTTTTAATGTCAGGTTAAGCATTGAACACTTTTGGGAATATGATTTAATATAGTCTTTTTTTTTAGTCTTTTCTTTTTAAGATTCTTCTGACTACAATTAAACATTATCCCTCAGGTACTAATGTGATGGTTTCTACTAACCTAGACTGGGTGATTATCTTCCTCACTCAGATGAAAGTTGGGATCCTGGGTAACTCCTCACTTCTTTGCTTTTATACTTTCACTTTGATCACTGGATGAAGTCTCAGACCCACAGAACAAATCCCCAACCAACTCGTCCTAGCCAACTGCTTAGTTCTTTTCTCCAAGGGGATCCCTCAGGAAATGACAGTGTTTGGACTGAAATATTTCCTGGTCGTTACTGGATATAAACTTGTGTTCTATTTTCATAGAGTAGCCAGAGGGGTTTCCCTCAGCACTACCTGCCTCCTTGGTGGCTTCCTGAGGGGAGGGGGAAGCTGGGGCGAAGTGAGAGTAGCATCGACATATATACACTACCAAATGTAAAACATAGCTAGTGGGAAGCAGCAGCATAGCACAGGGAGATCAGTTCGGTGCTTTGTGATGACCGAGAGGGGTGGGATAGGGAGGATGGGAGGGAGGCTCAAGAGGGAGGTGATATGGGGGTATATGTATACATATGGCTGATTCACTTTGTTGTACAACAGAAACTAACACAGTATTGTGAAGCAATTATAGTCCAATAAAGATATATTTAAAAAAAAAAGGGCTTCCCTGGTGGCACAGTGGTTGAGAGTCCGCCAGCCGATGCAGGGGACACGGGTTTTTGCCCCGGTCCAGGAAGATCCCACATGCCGTGGAGCGGCTAGGCCTGTGAGCCATGGGCGCTGATCCTGT